CTAAATCAGATCTGTCTAAAGGAGCTTCCAAGCCCCTGTGTCCTTCACATACAGGAGGTGATGTTACAGGTAGAGAAGATAAATAGGTTTCAAAATGCAACCTTGCTAGAAAGGTATTTCAAGCAAAGGTATCTCCAAACAAATAATGTACAGATATTTTGTGGTGTGCAATCTCTTATATCTTTCTGATCATAGCTGTATCTTTGAGAAGTATGAGAAAGGGATATGAGTTCTGAGGAAAGAAAATAAAAAATTCAGTGAGTGTTAAGAAGGGATTCAATAACACAGAGAATGTTGACTTGGTTAGTTAAAAATGGGTCTCAGAGCTGAGTTTCATTACCCAACCTGGTAACATCATCAGTGCAGGTGATCTCTGACCTAACCATATTCTCTTCTGTTTCTTCTCCATCTCTGATCACCCTTTTCCACATTGTTTTACAGAGGATATTTCAAGCTTCAAGGGGAGACGTACCTTATTGAACCCTTGAAGCTTCCCGACAGTGAAGCCCATGCAGTCTACAAATATGAAAATATAGAAAAAGAGGACGAGGCCCCCAAAATGTGTGGAGTAACCCAGAATTGGGAATCAGATGAGTCCATCAAAAAGGCCTCTCAGTTATATCTTACTCCTGCAGTAAGTCTCATATTTAACTTGGTTTGAGAACAGGGATTCATTTCCTTGTTTCTAAAATGTAAAATTAGAGAGAAATAATGGAAATATGATGAACAAAAAATACAGGTTTCAGGCTTATAGCATTTTCGTTGGTCATACAGATTTGAATCAAAATGGATTTAAATGAATCTCCAAATCATCTCCACTTTCTAAATCAATTTTGAAAAGTAATCAGATTATCAATTTGGATGCCCTCTTTTATGCACAAAGAGACAACTTGGGATATGGGGAGAAACTGTTTTGAAATATTTAACATTTTTGAGATGTGTGATAAGACCATTACATAATCTTGACTCCATTTTCCAATTTGATTTGAATCATCAAGTTTGATTGTCAATGATTGAATGAATAGTGACAAATTGAATCTGGTCACAATTGACCCTCATACTCCCAATATTTTCCTCCTTTACTGGAGGGACAAAAATTAGAAAACAAAACATTGCATCCAAAGTGACAGTTCCTTCCTTCCTTTTGGTGGCAAAAGATGAAACTGGCTGATACATATCTAGAAGTTCAAAAATCTCACCTTTTTTATTAAAATGTTAAAATTGACATGGAACAACAGTTGTTGTTACCATGGAATACCAAAACACAAGTGAAGATGCCAGAATTGATTATAAAGTCTGGTTTGCCTTTTGGCTTCAGTGTTTCTAGCAATTCAAGTTTCTTTATCCTCAGCAAGTTGTGGTTATTTATGCTTAATTGGTCCTTAATTGGTCCTCTATCTTGAATGTCCTTGTCTCAAAGTCAGATCATGATCACTTTATTCAAACTGGATCTTGTGCAGCAGAGTTAAGAAAGTGGCTGTCAGAGAGCTAGGAGAGAAATTGCACTCTGGAATTGGCAATTTGGCCTTGTAGTTCTGTATGCTGAAAAAACACGAGTACACTTTCCTAGGGAAAGAAGCAAGTAACGCACCCTCACACATTCAGGTCTCAGCATAAGTCTACTTCCTGAGCAATCTGGGTCCTCTAGTGGTGGAATCTAACAGGGGAATTCAGGAGGGAGGGGCTCTTTCCCAGGGAAACAAGAGGCAGATGAGCAATGAGTCCTTGGATGGCAGAAAGAAGCCCCGAAGGGATCCTCCCTAAAACCTTCACAGGGTGTATCTCATGGTTACACACAGTGTGCTTTAGTCTGGCAAGATTCTTGTCTATACGAGAACAGCAATAAAGAAAATACTCTGAGCAATTAACCATGTTTTCTTGTTCCTTGTGGCTGAGAAGTCTGAAACAATATTTCAGTAATTGTTTTAAAATTACATGAAAAGAAAGGTACGATTCTTTGGCCATTAAGAGTGAGTTCAGTGACACAAAATGTCTGATTGCCTCCCCTTACCTTGTCTTTGATGCGTAGTGTGATATGATTGCAGGCAAGGTCTAATTGGTTCCATAGCATGACTACATCACCGTGTTTCTCACGTGATTGGTTGGGATCCTTTGTTTGAGAAGGAAAAGGAAAGGTGAGAAAGTCATTGGAGCATCATTTAGACAGGCTGAAAAACAGGTCAAAGAGAGCAATTTTCTCATATGCCTGTTCTTATTCCTATTAAATTTGGTTCAGAATTAGGTATTCATATATACCTTTATCTTTAAATGTAGCCATCATAAATGCCAAGAACAGATTAACTGGAATCAAGTGCCACACCTTATTAATACAAAGAAAGTGATTTTTTTTAAAGGAGACCACTTTTGTTGATGCTTGAGAATCCATTGCATAATGTACTTTTTCCTCAAAACTTTGTCAGCACTTTCTCTAAGTCAGAGTTCCCCAAACTTTCCAGTTTTGCAGACAGGTGGGGGGGAGGGGATGGTTCCACGTGAGAAGCGGGGTCATGCATGCACCCAGCTCTATTTGTGAGAGCAGTGGGCACACACACCCACTCATGCAAATGGAGCACACCCACCCATGCTTGCTCACCGGTCATGCAAGTGGAGATGCAGGCGCTCACCCGCCACTTCCATGCCCCCATTTGGAAGGGCTCAAGGCTCAGGGCTAAAATTTAACAAGCTGTCTTCCTATAAATGTCTTCTTGAGAGAACCAATATTTCTGAAAGTTCAAGTATTTTGACCAGAGAGTAAAACAAGCACTTTTCTGATTATCTGAGGTTGACCAACATTCCTGTTGGCTGCTTGGAGCAACATGTCTAAACAGCCTTTTGTTTATTGTTCTGTTTAGCAACAAAGATTCCCCCAAAGATACGTTAAGCTTGCAATAGTTGCGGACCACGGAATGGTAAGTATCCTGGATATCTCTCCATTTTCTTTCTGCATTGAGCACAGCATTTTATTTCTGCCTTTTTTAATGTGGGCATTTTTGAAGAGATTAACAAACATCCTATCTGGCTTTCTCATAAAATGTGCTTTATCATTATTATTATTATTATTATTATTATTATTATTATTATTATTATTATTATTATTATTATTATTATTATTATTATTATTATTATTATTATTATTATTATTAATTTAAACTTATATGCCGCCCTTCTCCCAACAGGACTCAGGGCGGCTCACAGCATATTAAAACAACACAAACATTATCCCCAATAAAAACCAATTAAAAACAAATATTTACCGCTGTGTTAATTAAAATTCT